CTGCCGGGGACAGAGCGGGGACAGCCATCCCCTGTCACTGCTGGGGACAGGACAGGGGACAACCATCCCCGTGTCGCTGCCGGGGACAGGACAGGGGACAGCCAGCCCCGTGTCGCTGCCGGGGACAGAGCGGGGACAGCCATCCCCTGTCACTGCTGGGGACAGGACAGGGGACAGCCAGCGCCGTGTCCGTGTTGGGGACAGCCATCCCCTGTCACTGCTGGGGACAGGGGACAGCCAGCCCCGTGTCCCTGCTGGGGACAGGGGACAGCCAGCGCCGTGTCACTGCTGGGGACAGGGCACGGGACAGCCAGCCCCGTGTCACTGCCGCGGACAGGGGGGGGNNNGGGGACAGCCAGCGCCGTGTCACTGCTGGGGACAGGGGACAGCCAGCCCCGTGTCACTGCTGGGGACAGGACAGGGGACAGCCAGCCCTGTGTCACTGCTGGGGACAGGGGACAGCCAGCCCCGTGTCACTGCTGGGGACAGGGGACAGCCAGCGCCGTGTCACTGCTGGGGACAGGACAGGGGACAGCCAGCCCCGTGTCACTGCTGGGGACAGAGTGGGGACAGCCAGCCCCGTGTCACTGCTGGGGACAGGACAGGGGACAGCCAGCCCCGTGTCACTGCTGGGGACAGGACAGGGGACAGCCAGCGCCGTGTCACTGCTGGGGACAGGGGACAGCCAGCCCCGTGTCACTGCCGGGGACAGAGCGGGGACAGCCATCCCCTGTCACTGCTGGGGACAGGGGACAGCCAGCCCCGTGTCACTGCTGGGGACAGGACAGGGGACAGCCAGCGCCGTGTCCGTGTTGGGGACAGCCATCCCCTGTCACTGCTGGGGACAGGGGACAGCCAGCCCCGTGTCACTGCTGGGGACAGGACAGTGGACAGCCAGCCCCGTGTCACTGCTGGGGACAGGACAGGGGACAGCCAGCCCCGTGTCAGTGTTGGGGACAGGGGACAGCCAGCCCCGTGTCACTGCTGGGGACAGGGGACAGCCAGCCCCGTGTCACTGCTGGGGACAGGGCACAGCCAGCCCCGTGTCGCTGTTGGGGACAGGGCACAGCCATCCCCGTGTCGCTGTTGGGGACAGGGCACAGCCATCCCCGTGTCGCTGTTGGGGACAGCCAGCCGCTGTCGCTGTCCCCCGGCCGGGCCCACGTGCGGTGCCAGCCCAGCCGCTGTGTGACATTCCTGTCACCGCCGGCCGCGTGCCCGCGTGTCGGTGACATTCCCGGCCTAGCGCGGTGGCCCTCGGTGACCTTGCGGGGCTCTCCTGTCCCCTCCTGTCCCCTCCTGTCCCCTCCCACCCCACGAATCCCGCCTGCATTTGGGACACCCCCACCCCACGGGACATCTGTCCCCAAGGAGGACATCCCGTGCCACCCCCAGGGCCACCGCAGCCCCCCGGAGTGTCCCCTACCCCCGAGGTGCCACCCCCTCGTCCCCTCAGCCTTGCCCGCGCTATTTTTGTCCCGTCTGGTGACACCTCTGTCCCCAGCCATACAAGGAGCCAGCAGCCACCCCGGGGGAGGTCACTTGTCCCCGAGGTGTCGCGTTCTGGGTGGCCCGAGCCGATGACGGTGACATGAGGCCGGGGATTGTCACCTCCTGCTCGCTGGGGACACTTTGTCGTGTTTTTGGGAGTGACCCGGGATTAGCACCCGCTGAGGACACGGGGACAGGAATAGCTCCTGGGGACACTTGGTGACACTCGTGCGCTGGCCTTGGGGACAAGTCTGGGGACGCTGCCCCCCCCATCCAGCGCCCCCTTTGTCCCCAGGCTCCAGAGGGAATTGTCCCCCTCCAGCTGGGGACACTGGGGACATCCCACCCCAAACTGGCCAGGGGACAAACCCCAAAAGCTCGGGGTGGCCCCGTGCCAGCAGCACCCCTGGGTGACCCCAAAACTGCACACGGGGCGTCGGGACCCCAAAACTGCTCCCTGCACCCCAAAACTGCACATGGACCCTCCAGGGGATCCCCCAGGAGACCCCAAAACTGCTCCCTGCACCCCAAAACTGCCCACGGAGCGTCGGGACCCCAAAACTGCTCCCTGCACCCCAAAACTGCCCCCACGGAGCGTCTGGGGATCCCCCAGGACATGGAAACCCCAAAACTGCACCTGGAGCCTCCAGGGGATCCCCCAGGAGACCCCAAAACTGTTCCCTGCACCCCAAAACTGCCCCCACGGAGCGTCTGGGGATCCCCCAGGACATGGAAACCCCAAAACTACACCTGGAGCCTCCAGGGGATCCCCCAGGAGACCCCAAAACTGCTCCCTGCACCCCAAAACTGCCCACGGAGCGTCGGGACCCCAAAACTGCTCCCTGCACCCCAAAACCGCCCCCACGGAGCGTCTGGGGATCCCCCAGGACATGGAAACCCCAAAACTGCTCCCTGCACCCCAAAACTGCCCCCACGGAGCGTCCAGGGGATCCCCCAGGGCACAGAGACCCCAAAACTGCTCCCTGCACCCCAAAAATCCTAGCCCGGAG